AGTTTCGAGTTTATTATGGCCGACTGTCGCGAGTGTCTCGTCGTACCTAGTGGCGAGTTCCTCGGATTTAGCTGTAAACGCGGGGTTAAGTCCAGAGAAATCACCAGAGACCGTGGATGTAATTACGAAGAGTCGAATGAGAGGAGCAAAGGAGGACGACGCGAGAAGGGAAGACTCTGAAGAACTGCTCGGGCAAAGCATGAGGCTATTACCCCTAATCACGAGGAAAACGCGATTCCTCTCTGGAACTGCAGCCTCGCAGCGGGATATACTTCTCGCCGGGGAAATGCTGCCAAGTTATCCCGAAAGTCCGACTGTTTTGTCGCGTACTATTCAATAATAGAGCCATGTTTAAAATGGAGAAAATAATAGGGCTCGACTGACACGCGAAATCTATCATGAAACTCCATCTCGTACCTTGTATTAAATACTTACGTTAAAATGATAAAATTTTGTTAAGGAAGAGAAGGGGCAATACTTTTTCTTTGAAATTAATTAAACTTTTCTATGTCTTATAATATTACTTTAGAACTACATTTTATTTATGAATCCTTTGATGAATTGATTAAAGACTGAGAAAAGAAGTCGTCTTCTTAATTAATTGAAAATAAAAGATTTTTGCAGATTGGTAAAACCTTCATCTTCATTTCTTAATTTCAAATGCATTTTACTTTAATAAATTTAAACTAAACTAAGGAGTAACGCTATACAGATATTTAATGTTGAAAATTAAGAATAAAATTGAGATAAATAATTTTTTCTTGATATTTTTGCTGTAAAAAGAAGTGAAATGTATCAAAGAGTTAACCCTTAGGCACAATTAACAACAAAACGGCATTGAAAGGATATATTTTGTTTTATTTTTTTTTATAGCTGTGCTAACTATAAATTTAAATCGACACAGCCCTTATTTTTATGAAAGAGCAAGAGCAATAGAATCACAAATGAAGCAAAAAAACTAACAACAAAAAAGCATTAAATTTATATTTAAGATTTAGTTGATTGTGCAATGGCTTTAATATATAGACATAAAGAATTAATAAATCCGGCATCTGGGCTAATATCTTGTATAATAATTAATTTCAAAATGCAAATGATTTTTTTTTGCTGATAGAAAATACTATGCAAAACTAATCAAAAGTTTGATAGTTTTGACATGCAATCGAAAAACATTGTGCAATGAAAAATGATATACTGACGAGAAAATCCGATACTAAGTTGTCATCAATGAACATTCATCTTGTGATAGATCGCACATAAAAAAGAAAGCATATTTAGTATGCAATTCAGTGGGATAATGATCTTTACTTAGAATTCGCATGTTTGCTGTGCTGACTCGTATTCTTGGAATCTCACCAACCCTTCCGTGGCGGTTTACATAGATCGCATACCGATATTAAACCATCCTAGTAGCCCGGAGCACTCCGAGTGAAATGATAAAATTGCGAGTGCTTGAAGGGAGTGCGAAGCAAGGAAACTCGTGAAGCACCATCGAGATACGACTACACTCGGATTTAGCGCGATCGGCCAAGCGTTTAAATCTACCACGTTATAAGAGCTCGTGTTCATCTTGTACAGGGTGCTCCAGAAATGAGACACTTAATATATTCCTCCGCCTTGAAGATACGAGAAGATGACTGTAATGAAATTTATATAGCCTCGGAGGAACAAACGCGACATGGCAGAACTCCGGATGCTGATGCACTTTCATTAAACAGGACATGCATGATTTTCATGTAATTAATTTCGTAATAAAAGGAAAATGACACTGTTGGAAAACATATTATCTTTACATCATTTTTCAAAGCTATTGCCTATTTCGATTTCGTGAAGATTCTCTGCGTTTTCGAGGCAAAGAAAAATTGTTCTTTTGAAAGTTATTATTGAATTGGAAGGAAAATAAAATCGTATTTTTAACTTAAAATTGTATATAAAATATACAATTCAAAAATGAATGAAATTTAAATTTCAAAAAGGGTTTTAAAATTTATAATCTTTACTTTTGAAAAGTCACTATATTTTTTTAATTTCTGTGAATTTGATAAGTTTTATATGAGATTTTACATATAGAAATTAACTACAAGCTGAACAAAATGTGAATTTTTTTCTCATTTTATGAATCTCTTACGTGCCAAAAAATAAAAATTTGTAAAAATTTTTGACTCTCTAACATAAAAGCTGAAAGTTTTCCCTATAAAATTATCTTTTAAAAATGTTCTTAAGATTTTTTTATTACTGAATTATCGCAAGTTAAATAAAAGGAGCATTTTTGCTCATAACTCCATAAAAATTCATATTACAATTGAATCATATTACAATTGAAAAAAAAACTGAAATTTTACTATAAGTATAATAATATATAATATAGTATATAACTTTGAACTATAAGTACGAGAGAGAGAGAGAAAGAGAGAGAGAGAGAGAGAGAGAGAGAGAGAGAGAGAGAGAGAAAGATATTACGCTTTCCTTCTAACTCAATATATATAAGGTACAATGATTAAATCGAGTAGTTGGTCTTTCAAGAACAAATTGAAAACAGAAAATGCAGAATAAAAATTGCCTGGGTATGCTCTGTTTAATGAATTCGAGTCGTTCTCTATAGAGATGTGACAGCGTGGATAAGCGCGCGGCCGACGCGAATACGTACAAGGGAAATCCGGAGCTGTTTCGCATCATGTCGCAGATGAGAGTGCCTCGATATTCGGGCCGACGTCCGGTGTATAAAACGGAGTTTCGTACTCCTAATTTAGTGCAGGTGTTACCCCGAAGGATCTGACGCGCATAGTCCTCTCCCGCGAGAGATGTCCCGAGGGACATTGGATTTACGTCGCGGTCTCTCAGCAGTCTTCCTCCGTTCTCTCTCTTTCCCTCTCACCCAGGCGGAAATTGCTTCGTGAGAGGACCGATTATTGCACCGAAGAACGACGACAGGGACGACCCCGAGACGGAGAATTTCGTAACCGGTCTGCTCTCTCATCAGTCTACCCGGCGGCTCTTCCGCCGGACGGATGGACAGATCACCCAACCGACTTCGTAATAGAACGCTCGTCGAGATGAGTCACATGCTTCGTTACTGATTTGCGCGAAGGTCCTTCTCTAGGAAAGACAAATCTATCTATGTATAGAATTGGACGTAGAACTGGAAACGTTCTGTTCTTATGAAACCAGGACATGTAAAATTTATAAACGATACAAGATAAACAAAGGTAATCGAGAATGCAGTGTATTATTGTCGCGACTTTGTGACAAAGATGTAAATTAAATCTTGTAGCAGAAATGGTGCTCAAAAATAACCGCATGACTTATTCACAAAATTTAATTATAAATTCATTTGATCTCAGTGACTTGACGACACATAGTTTATTATAGAAAGACGTCTCTCTTGATGCTTATAAATTTAAAATAATTTTTAAAAATAACAACTCTTAAAAATACCATGTCCTCTTTATTATTGAAGTGATTTTGATGTTTCCGCAGCATCTAAATTTGAAATTGTAAAAATTGTGCGGTTTTCAATCTTCGTTTGCGCGATTCTCACGACGTTGCGAAGGCCAAAATCTCGGATTTGCGATGTCGTCTCGGATGCGGGGACACTTGGTTTTACGACCCGAAACTCCGCTTCCTCTTGCTCTTCCGGTCAGCACAGCCGACTGCCCAGATCGTACGTGCGATATTCGCGCATGAAAGTCCAGGATTTTCGCAGGACGAGGAGAAACGTGCGCGATAAGACAACGACTGTAGTAAACGAGAAAAAGGGGTAACGGCTGTGTACGAAAAATCATACCAATGGAGATAGTCTAGGAAACTATCGCATTACGTAGAAGAATATTTCCTGAACTTCTTTTTAATGCATCCTTTTTTCATCCCTTTTTTATTTTCTGACTAATAATCGATGGCGCGAATCGAGAGAAAGTGTATTTCTACACATGTTTTACGTGTTTTCCTGAATAATCAAACTGAGAATTTAATTAATGCGCATACGCGCGTATCTTCTATAGTTGCGGAATTCGAATACATGGATATTTATCGCGACACGTGAAAAGAGAAAATGAGAGCACAATTTGTATATTAATAAATGCTTCGATGAGGAAAAGAGAGAGATTGAAATTTGCGTAGTAAAGCCGATCGCATGCTTTCATTATGAGAGATAGTAATAAATCGAGTCAATGATATGTTGATGCTGTGATTTGATTTGTTGATAGCCCAGTATCTGCGTTAATTTAACCATGAATTAATCAGAATTCGTATTAACTCGTTTATTCACTGAAATTACCGTTGCTGGCTTTTTAATATTCGGATATTGCTAAATTTCGATAACATAGATCTCTCCCTTTTTCTCTTATAACGATGTTTATAATATTTGCAATTAATAAAATTTTAATATTTATGAGATTATTATATTTGTATATTTTTCTTTATATTATCGAAATCTGGTTATCATAAAAATATAATTTTTAATGCAACGGTTTTATATAATTCATCAGACAATCTTTTTCACTTTTATACTTTTTTTTGGTATCATTAATCTTTTTCAAGCTTAATCCAATATATGTTAATGTAACAAGTATACTATTCTATAATAATATTTACATATCGCTCATTTGTTACAACAACATAACATATAAATTTGTTATTTTTTTAGTAACTTACAAAAAAGGATGAGAACATAAAGAAAGAAAAAAAAATATGAGAACATTCTTTTATTTCTCTACAATCAATTATTGTATCAAAATGATATCGATTATCAATATCTAAATTGCATTTCAAAATTTATTTTAATGATTCAAAAACATATAAATTTATTATCTGGAATACTTCATTATGTTGTTGTTATGTAACAATTAGCAATATATTTATTTTAA